TCTCACCCCCCACGCCTGTGGCATTCTCAGAGTGCCCTCGCATCTGGCTCCGTCAGTCCGAGAAACAGTCCTTGAGGGAACCTATTTGTATTCAAGGAAGCCAATGGCCTGCTCAGATGCCATCTCCCCAGCCATGCCCTCTCTGTCCTGCCAGCAGAGGACGGGCACCCCCTCAGCACTTGACTTAGAATTCCGCTCAGGCCTCGGTGGCAGCCCCTGGCCAGGCACTACGCACACGTCGGGAGGGAGAGAGCCTGGCCCCTCGAAGCTTCCAGTCCCATGACTGAAGTAGACTAGAAGCATTTATGAGCTGGAAGGAGGCCAGCGGCTACTTGAGGGGCCTGAGAAGTAAAAGGGGAGGGGGTAGGAGGAGGAAGAGTTGTTGTCTAGGAGAAAAGCAGGGAGAAGAGCTTCCAGAGCAGGGACCAGCATGTGCAAAGGCCCTGGGACAGCGAGAAACAGGACCCAATGCAGAGGGCTCAGCCATGGGAGGCGGGAGCAGGTGGCCCTCTAGGAATAAAGCATCAGACAATCCCCTTCGCCAACACCAAGGGAAGCCTCCCGTGCCCGGCTCCCTATCCATACCTTGCCAAGATCTCGGGCTGGCGGGACAGCTCCATCACCGTGAATGCCAAGTGATTGGCAGAGGTCTCGTGACCTGCAGGAAAGGAGGAGAGCGACAGCTCCACATGGGACTATAGAGCGGCTGCAGGCTCGGCTTCGGAGACCCCACCCGCCTGGTGGCAGTTCAGGCCCTCACTTCTGCCCCCTAGGATTGAGCTGGGCATACGGATATAAAGGGATGCCTGATGCCAGCCAGTGTGGCCAAATAAATGGCATTTGCCCCCATGCAGCTGGTTTCATACTCTAAAAGCCCCTTCCTCCAACCATCCTCGAGCCTTGCCTGGCCTGGAGGGATGTCTGTCCCCATTTTGCAGAAGAGGAAGCTGAGGCTGAGAGAAATGTCTCTCTGAGGTCACACAGCAGGAGGAACAGAGCTGGGACTCAAGGCAAGCAAGGCTTTGAGCCCAAGTCTGTGTTCTCCCTGGGCTGTGGGCACCAGCCCCTGGGGTCTGGAGAGAGCACACCTCCAGCAGCGGAGAACACGGGGAGGCTCCCCCCCATCCCGGGTGGGCAGGGATCATCTCAGTGGGGCCGATCTGAGTCCTGGCAGGATCTGGCCAAGTGGACAAAGCGCCCAGTGGCCTGGGAAGGAATCATCTGCACTGCAGGAATTTCCTCTGAAGGGGCAGGTGCCCACCAGGTGGCAACCGCTGCCAGCCACGGGGCCTCAGAGGCCTGCTGCAATGAGAGAGAAGGGCCTACACCTCACAGCAAGTAGGTGCTGGGAAGCGAGGCCCAGCCGCTCTTGGGGCAGGAGGTGGATGAGTCAGGGCCAGGGGACCCCACGGGGGGGAGCAGCCAGAAGTCCCACCCTGGCCCTGGCTGTTTGTTCCCAGCTGTGACTCAGTTTCCTCACAGCCCACCCCTGAGCCCTGTGTCTGGACCACTGCAGGGGCCAGGAGGGCAGGGCAGGTGCACCTCTCTTCCCTCCTCTGAGAACCCATCGCCCAGCCAGTTCAGTGTGTCTGTCAGTCTGTCTACCACCGCCATCAGACGACCAACTGTCCTTCCTCCGTTCACCTCTGCCTTCCCCGAGCCTAGGATCCATTCACTTGTTCATTCATTCCATCCAGTCTTCACGGCTCCCTACTGCACTGGGCCTGGGGAACACCCAGGCGCGGGAACGCCTAACCCCTCGCGCGCCGAGCACGCAGCGTGCTGGGGGAGACAGGCCTCATCGAGTCACACCAACAAATATGCAACTTAAACTGTGGGGCAGGGCGGAGGAGCTCTGCCATGGAGAGCTAACGGGCGGCCTGATGCGTCTGGGCAATCACTGAGGGCTTCCCCAAGGAAGAGGCAGCTGAGGGATCCCTGAAGGGTGGGGAGGAGTTTTCTTGGTGAAACTAGACGCTCAAGAAGTATTTGACGAGCAAATGAATGAAGTTGCCCCCACAAATTCTGAGTGAGGGGGAAACTCGAATTCTCAAGGCCAAGCTCTCCTGAGCCCCAAAGGGCAGCCTCACATGTCCCCACGATCACCAGCTCTGTTAACAGGTCAGATGCCACAGGGGGGCCTCCTGGGCCTCCCTAAGCGGAGAGAGAAGGCTCTGCCCCCCTCGTCCCAGCCCCCCGATTCCGCAGCATAACTCGGCCCGGACACCCAGAAAATCTCCCAGAGTCAGGATTCCGGGGATCCACCGTTCCCATAAGTTCTGCAAAGCCCTGAGCCCCTGGTCGCCCACGAAACTACGAACCAGCAATGAAAAAGGTGACAAAGTTGTCCAGCAGGATCTCGTCGTCCTGGGTGTCCTCTTCCGCTGCAAGACCAGGGGCGGCTCAGGGCCGGCGCGGCGTCCGCGACACTCACACTTCGGCTCCCTTTCCCAGGACCCAAACCGTGGTCACCCGGCCCCCGCCCTCGCAGGGCCCCGCACCTTTGAGAATCTGCGTGAGGATGTCGGCAGGGACGGCGTCCCCCCGCTTCAGGGCCTCCCGGCGGCGCTGCACCCAGTCCCTGCCCACCTGGCGCAGGAAGCGGACGCTCTCGCGGATCTCGCGCAGCTGCTTCCACTTCCCGGGCATGAACTGCACAGGAGCCGCAGCTGGACGGGCCTCCCAGCACGCACCCCGCGCCCCCCCCAGCCCCGAAATCACTACAGGTGCACGGCAGCCCCGCGAGCTGGGAGGCCGGAGGGATGCGGAAAAGTTCTAGAAAAGACAGAGGAGCCAGGGAGACGAGACAGGGAGGGGGCCGGCTCAGCCCAAGCACGCATCGGCTTCCCTTCCTGCACCGGCTCCTAGAAACGATGGGAACGATGCCCGTGAACATTCAGGAAGCACTGGCTGGAAACAAGAAAGGGTCCCTGCAGGATGGGGCGGTTAGGACGGCAGGGAAGGAGACCACGGCCAGGGGGGCAGCGAGGGGGACTCAGCAGCTGCAAAAGTGGGGTGGCGTCAGAGGGCTGCAAACTCAGAGGCCGAAGTCCCAGGAACAGGAGGGGGCCCTGGGCGTCTGTCTGAGAATCAACTCAAGTACCACCTTTCTCCCTTCTTCCTCCTTCAAGCCTGGAACAAGGGGGTGATAGCTGGAGCTGCAGCAGCCATCTCATGACAACGAGGTGACGTGCTGGAGACAGTAGAACAGAGAGAGGGCCCGGGGACACCTGACACGGTGAAGCCATCCTGGGCTCCCTCGATGGCCCGCTTTCAGGGGTCATTTTGCACGAGAGAAAGATGAACTCCTAACTTACTTAACCCACTCTGATTCTGAGCCTCCGCTCTAGGCAGTGCATGCAAATCCTGACTGAGTCAGAAGGCGCTTCAGATACATGTACCAGAGCTCAAAGCTCATCCTGAAAAAAAACCACTGCAGGAGGTGCTCCAGCAAAACAGGACAACATAAGCTGGTGGCCGGCCACCGGGAGGGGTGCTGTGGCCGTACCTTCGCCAGGGTGTTGCGGGATGCAGAGATGCCCTCCAAGATCAGCTTCACCTTCCCGGACAGAGGCTTCTGGGCGCCCAGCAGCATGCCCGTCTCCATCCCAAAAGCTGCCTGGGGAGAGAGAAGGGTGGGGTCACGCCTCGGGGGCGGGAGGACCAGAGACCCAGGCAGAGCCTGGCACCGTCCAGCTGGAGACCCAGGCCCGGGGCTACGGGCTGACGTGCACCTGGTCACCGACTCCCCGCAGGGAGCCGCGATGACCCCAAGCCCGCTGACTGTGGTGGGGCTTAAGATGCATGTGCTAACTGCCGCACAGACCTTGACTCCTTCCTTGACAGGACGCAGTTCCCCTGAAATGCAGCCTTCCCTGGGTGTCCATGCTACGCCCAGCTGCCCAGGGGGTTGTGGAGTGACAATGACTCTTCACTCCAGCTGCCTGACCTGCCTTTACCTGGGTTTGGGATTATCTGGGCCACTGCTGGGCCTGCCAGGGTAAAAAGCCAACCCACTGCCCCATGGGGGAGCCGAGGAGGAGGTGAGCTTTGGGCTGGAGTTGGGCAGACCTCAGACCCAGTCGGGCTTCTGCCCGTGACAGGCCACAGGCCGGTCCGCACACCTCTCGGTGTCCTGTCTAGAGGATGGGTTAGTAGCTCCAATCTCGTGCTGGGTGGCTTTGCATGGTCAAGGAGATAGGACGCGCTCAGCCCAGAGACGGGGCGCTGCCGCGGGAGGAGCAACTGGGAGGGAGGAAAGCGGGGCGGGAAGGGGGGGAGAGGAGCCCTCTGCCCCGGCGGCCTGCCCCGCGCCACCCCGCACCCTACTGTCCGCCCATCACCTTGGCCAGGATGTCCATGGTGGTGCAGGTCAGCATTTCCTGCATGGACACCGGGGTCTGCCCATCTGCCTTGGCCTCGAGAATCTCTACCAGCTGCTCCGCTTTCTCGTTGAATGTTTCCATCAGGCTGACCAAGGAGCTGGGGAACAGCACGCACATCAGCGGCCGCCTGGACCAGCCCAGGGCTTCAGCCATCCTGTGGCCTCCCCTCTGGCAGGAGGCCAGTGTGCGGAATGGAGGTGGGGGCCCCTCCCAGCCTTTCTGGCCTCCCCTTGAGGCCCAGCTCTGGGGCCTGGGTGGCAGTGATCAAACTAAGCCCTGAGGTTTCACCATTCCCTCCACTCAGGATGGCAGCTGTCCCTCTGCCCTTGTCCGGATGGTTCCATGGGTCCCCTGTCTGCCACTGGGCCCCTCAACTCTGAGCTCAAGGGGATGTGACAGTGTAGAAACTCCAGCGGACAGTGGGAAGGAAGGAAAGAAAGGCCCCTGGGGCCTCCAGAATCCATGAAGTTTCCCCTCAAACCTCTCCGCCGGCACTGCCCACTCTCCCGACCTGCCGGGCCCCGGGCTGCCTCGTGTTCCATTCTACTCCTGTCCGTGAGCAATCGCAGTGCCCAGCCCTATGTGGACAGGAGTCCTCAGGCCCAGAGGACTCAAGCCCACCCACGCCAGGCAGCCCAGCACGGCCTCTGACCGGCCAAGGCCCAGGCTGCCCGCCGCGGCCAGGCTCACCTGCGGCTGAAGGCCAGGTCCATGACCCTCCGCTGCTTGTGCCAGCGCTCGTAGTCGCACTCGGACACCAAGCCTTGGCCAAACAGCCTGTGGGACACAAACAGGGTGAGCGAGCAAGGTGTGGGAATGGGGATGGCCTGACGGGCACGGGGTCACCTTTAGGGGTGATGGAAAGGCCCTGGAACTAGACAGTGCTGACGCCTGCACCATGCTGTGAATGTGCCAAATGCCACTGGGTTTACCTCCAACGTGGTTAAAATGGTGGGTTTTATGTATGTGACTTTAATCACGATAAAAAATAAATGAACCAAAAAGAAACAGGGTGACTGTGTGCCCCAACCTCGGCAACCCCCGCACTCTCCCTGCCGTGGGAGGGGAAGGGGGAGAGGAAGGTGCTGATGATGATAGCGGTGGCCATAGGGCCTGGGGCACGTGCTGTGTGTCTGGCAGCCAGGAGCTCAGGCCCTAAGGCTACCCCAGGGCTCTGGAGCCCCTGGGCCCTCTGCTCGCTGCCAGAGGCCTCCCCCCGGGTCCCCTCCTCCCACCTTACCTCTCGCCAAACACAGTCTGGATGGCATGGTACATCTTGGAGTCCTTGTTGTACTTGGTTGACATCAGGAACTTCTAAACATCCCCAAAAACCAACATCAGCTCATGAACCCAAGGGAGTCAGTGAAGGACTCAGCAGTTTCAATTTATGTGAAACATACCCCAGGTAATCCCCCGGAGCTGAGCCAGCTACAGCGTGAACACTTCACACGCGTGACCTCACCTAGCCCTTTGGAGATCCCGTCTTTAAGCAAGAGCACCCCCTTCAGGGATGAAGAAACTGGGGCACAAAGGGGTGAAGGGGTTGCCCTGTGGCCACACAGCTGGAGAGCAATGCGGCGGGCGATGCCCTGGCCACTGAGCCAAACCGGCTCGGGCAATTATCAAAGTTCTTACCTTAAAATAGTAGAATAAGGACAAATAAACTCAAAGTTTGGTAGAGGAAGGAAATAACAAAGAGCAGAAATCAACAAAATAGAAAACGGACGAACAATGGAGAAAACCAATAAAACCAAAAGCTGGTTCTTTGAAAAGGTGAGTGAGACTGATAAACCTCTTGCTCGCCTGATAAAGAAGATGAGCGATAAACCCAAGTTACTATTCCCAGGAATGAAAGAGGGGGCATCACACAGATCTGGTAAACAGTAAAGAGATCAATAAATAAAAATTGTGGACAACTTTATACCACTAGTTTCAACAATTTAAAAGAAATGGACACTGCACTCAAGAAAAAATAGAAAATCTGGATGGCCATATATCAATTAAAGAAATTGAGTGTGTAATTAAGACAAACAAAGAACACTTCCCTCTAAAAAAATGCCGGGCGCAAATGGCTTTACCAGTGAATTCCATCAAACACGGAGGAAAGAAATAACACCACTCCTACACAAACTCTTTCAAAGAAAAGAGAAGAGGGAACATTTCCTGACTCATCTTATGAGGCCTATTAACCTGATACCAAAACCAGACAAAGGCACTATAAGAAAAGAATAAAGATAGAAACAAAAATTTCTAAAGAAAGTTGAGCAAATTGTATCCATGTATCCATGAGCAAACTGTATCTCGACCAGGAATGCAAGGTTGGTTTAACACTCGACTATCACTGCAATTCATCACTTTAATATATAATATAATATAATATAATATAATATAATATAATATAATATAATATAATATAATATAATATAATATAATATAATATAATATATATATATCTTCCAACTTCTTTTCTCATTGAGCATCGTGAAGATTTTTGTGTATGATTTTTGGCAGCGTGTTTTAAAACATCTCAAACTATGTCTGTATTTGAAATTAAACTTTTTAAAGATAAAATCATTTTTAACATCCTGTTAGAGACGCCATAATTGTTCAATTTGTCTCCTGATCTGAACCCAAAGTCGTATTTTATCCCTCTTTGTGTCACCACGGGCACCCTCCGTGCAGAGAATCACCCCGTGCACCATGTGAGTAACCCCTGTGTGAACTGCGCCACCATCATTTATTGTGCAATTGCTGTGTGCCAGGCATGGACCCGATGCCTCATACACGTTATTTCAGTCCCATTCTCACAACCCCTGTAGGAAAGGCATCATTCCTATTTTATGGACAAGGAAACTGAGACCCAGAGTGATGAAGTAACTTGTCCAGGTCCCACAGTCCGTTGGTGGCAGAGCCCAGATTTGAGCCTAGTTCTGCTAACCCCCCAAGTAGATGACCCGATGGCCATTCTTAATACCTACACAGCAGACACCATCCCACAAACACTACAGGCCAATTAATGCCACCTGTCTCCATTTCCTCTTCTCTGCCATGGGGACTCATAAGAGTTCCTACCTCAATGAGATCTAATGGGTTAATAATTGTGAACTACACAGAAAAGCACATGAGCCCTAGTTAACACTGTTAAGTATCCTTTGACCCTTTACTTGTTAAATAGATCAATATTTAATTTGCATCATAGCCCTGAGAGAGTGGGGGTGGTTATAGTCTCACCTTGCCAGTGAAGACACTGAGCTGAGAGGCGAACTACGAAACGTGTGTGCACCAAATGTGCCCAACAGCAAAGTCCCCACACCCAACAGCCCCGCCTTTAGGAGCCCACCAAGCGATGGGTGGTTAGAAAGATGCCATTCCCTTTCGGATCCCGGGGAAACCAGCCCAACTCTATGTGACTCTGGAACATTTCTCTCCCAGTCCCCAGGGCCAAGTTTCACGTACCCAACCAAGGGAAGGGGAGGCCCATCCCCATGGAAACCACTCTGTTTCCTACCTTGACCGACTCAGGGCTTGTGACGATGACCGAGGTTTTGTGGAAGACATTGACCCGCACGACAGGCCCGTACTTCTTAGCCCTGGAAACCAAAGGGACCCAAAGGAGGCTGTCAGCTACTGGAGATGTGAATATCAGCAGCCCAGGCCCGGCAGGAGAAGCCGGGTATCCCATCCCAGGACGGGGCTCACCAAGGGCTTGGGGCCCAGGCTCTGCCCTGGGGCTGACTCACTACTCAGTCTCATCTCCCATGGGCCTCAGTTTCCACATCCATGAAAGGGGGTTGCTACACTCTTCCTTTGCCCCAAAGGTTGTACTGGAATCAAGCAATATCGGGTCTCTGAAAATGCTTTGAAAAGTGTGAAGCACCACCCCAAACAATGACTCTTACCCAGTCACCCCCTACACCCAGGTTACAGATGAGGAAACTGAGGCCCAAGAGCTTCTAATGGTTGGTCTAAGGTCATGTGGTTGCTTTTGAACCGGCCTGGTCTGTCTCTCCACCCAAGGGAGGACCTGCTGGGGGTAGGAGCGACCTGGGCAAGGGAGCGGGGAGTGTGTGTACTGGACTGGGGGGATGGGAGGGGAGCTGGCCTGGGGGACCTGGACCAGAGTAAAGGCAATGAATGACAAGTTAGGACCCACCAATCCAAAAACACATCTTGGAGCACGCGGCCACAAACCTCGTCCTTCTTCCAAAAGTAGGGAAGGTGCCCTAGGAGGAAACTGGAAGAAATGGGAGACATTGAGATCACGGGAAGTCACCATTAAAGAGTGTTCCCTTCCCCACAGGGCCCTATGAGGTTGATGTTGTTAGACCCACTTTGCGGATGGGAGAACTGAGGCATGAGAGGTGTGGCTCTGACTCAGGGTCACCTGGCAGGATGCAAACCTGGGTCTGACTGGCTCCAGAGGCCTCCTTGGAGAGGTGATGTTGAGAAATAAAACCATCTGCCTGGTGCAGAGGTTGGGGGCTGGCACTCAATCATATTGTGTGGAATTACCTTGAGGCACCCACTGAACACTTTCCATGTGCTGGGTGCCATGCTAAGCCCCACCCCATCTGACCTCCCCACACCACCTGGAGCTGGGCAGCTGAGGCTGGACAGGGGAGGTCACCTGCCCACAGCTATGGGGCTGGCACCAGGGTCTTATCACCAGCAGATGGGTGGGTCACACTAAGTCTGCAGCGTGATCACCAAATTGTAAACAAGCCTTTTGGTGTCACTTTGAGGCACGTTCCAAGGGACTCATGACTTCCTGTCTCCTCTAGGACTCTATTCTAGTCAAGCTCACTTACTACAGCACCCAGACAAGAAAAAACAAACAAACAAAAAACCATAAAAAACCCCACTGCAATTGGGATTTCCTGGGTCAGTGAGCTCATTCTCCTGGTGGAAGACAGTAGATAAGCAATAAGTAAGTATGAAGTCAGAGGGTGATGGCATGAGGAGAGCTGGGGTGGAGGAGGGGGTGGCCGTCTTATACAGGCAGGTCAGGGAACAGCCCTCCATGAAGGCGTCATGTGAGCTGTAAGAAGTGAGGGACTTGGCCCAGCAGGAATCTGGGGGAAGAGCAGTCAAGGCAAAGGAATGGCAGGTGCAAAGGTCCTGAGGCGGGAATGTACTTGGTAAGTTCAAGGAAGGCAGTGTAGCTAGAGCAGGTGGCTTAAGGGGACCGTGATACAGGCTGGGGTCACCAAGGTGGGCAGATATGCACGGCCCTGTGGGCTGTGGTCCACGCTTTGGCTTTGCCCTCGGCGCAGTAGGGGCTACTGGTGGATTTTGAGCGGAGCGGAGACAGGATCTGACTTGAGTGTTAAATGTATTGTCTTGCAGATACAGTGCTGAGAACAAAGGGGCGGGGAGGGCTCAGGGGTGGAAGCAGGGCCCCGGCGAGGGACTGTGAGAGGTGATGAGGGCTGGGACCCATGGAGGTGAGAAGTCCGTTCCGAGTACGCTGAAGGCAGAGCCAACCGGCTCGCCCACCATTTGGGTGTGCCGAGTGGGACAGGTGTCAGGGATGACCCTGGGCCACAGGGAGGGTACACGGAGCTGCCATTTACTGAGGTGAGCAGGTCTGAGGGGAGCTTTTTGGAGCAGCAGACCCCCGTCAGCCGTCCCCTGTCCGAGTCCATCAGGTGGACAGGCTACCAAAGGCTACGCCTGCTGGCTCTGGGGCTCTGCCTGCAAGAGGGGCAGGCTGGAGGCTCCAGCTCCACCCCCCCAAAGCAGCCCTCCATCGGCCAGTGACCCCGCCCCTCCACCTTGGAGGGCAGCTCTGGGGCCCATGCTCCCCTGGGTCCCGGGTTCCTCAAGGGGTGCACTCAGTGTCACCCGGATGCCCAAAGATAGGCAGCAAAGGGACAACCTGCCAAGGAGACTGGGCAGGAGATGTGGGGAGAGCCAGAGAAGGGTTGGCTGCTTTGAAGAGAGGCTTCAAGGGGGAGGGAGGCATCAGTCTGCCCCAGGCTGATGAGGGGCCAGGCAAGATGGGGACCCAGCGCCGACTGTGCGTTAGCTCCGCGGTCACTGGGCCTTGACTGAAGCAGGTTGGGTGGAGAGGTGAGGGCCAGAGCCCGACGGGGTGCTGGGTTCAAGAGAGAACAGGAGGGAGGACCGGCGGCCCATAGACAGGTAGGCTTCCTGGGGGGCTGCAGTGGGGGAACAGAAACAGGGGGCAGCTGTTGGAAGGGAAGGAGATCAGGGAGAAAAGGGTTGGTTTTTAACAGCATATTATATAAAAACGAGGAAGATGCAGAAGAAAGGGAAACTGGTGACGCAGGAGAGGGGGCAGTGGGGGGCAGTGCTGCTGAACGGCGAGGGCAGCTGTCCTTGGCCGGGAGCCCCTGGCCCAGCAGGAAGGGAAGGGGAGGGCAAGTGGGCCGGCGCTGGCAAGGGGTAGCTGTGGCAGCAGAGCCCTGAAAGGAAGTTCTCTCACTGATCCATTCGCTCAGGGAGGTGGGAGGCAAGAAGAAAGGCTGGGAGCGCGGATGGAGGGGGTGGAGGGGGCGTGCCGGGACTGCAGAGCCGCAGGAAGGCTGCAGAGTAGGCGCGGAGGCAGGGGAGGGGGGAAGCGTGGCCGCTGGGGTCCACTCCGAGTGAGGACTTGAGCTTGCACCGCTCCACCTGCAGAAATATGGACCGTGGACACCACTGGCTGTACTTCCAGAGTAACCTAGTATCCATGGTCACTCCCCAAAGCTGCTCATTTTCGGGAAAATGTTCTGTTTTGAGTGAGAACAGAGTCTGTTAACCCCTCACCCTCCCAGGCTAATGTGAGATCCTTCGCCCTCACCGCTGGGGTCCATGCCCCCTGGGGAGGAAGGTGAGTGACACCTTGAGAAGGGCAAGGTCACAGAGTGGCCAGGTCTCCACTGCCAGGCAAAGGGAACTAAAGCCCATTCCCTCCAGCTCCTGCAGGGGGCGCCGGGGAGGCAAAGGCAGGGCCAGGAGACAGGGTTAGAAATGAGCAGGTAAGGGGTGACAGAAAGTGGGGATGGTAGACCCCTGGGATTGGGAGGGGGCAGACAGAAGCCCACCTGGCATGGCCCTGATGGTGGATGGGAAGTGTCAGGGCAGCCAAGGAGAGAGGGGAGGGCAAAAACCCCCCTCCCAGCCGGTCCCCAGCAGGTGCAGTTCCCTATAACACTGCAGCAGGCACAGTGGGGATCCAAAGTTTCCTGTGAGCAGAAGTCATCTGGGGAGCCCACTGTGAGACCACCCAGAGGGGTGAAAGGATGGGCCACCCACTGGGAGTGAGGGTGAGGGGCTGTGGTTGTGCCTCATGCCAAAAGGATGGGGTGGTGGGTGTTCAGCTGGGCACCCAAAGTCCAACAGTGGGTCTCCACCAGGAACCACCTGGCAACTTGGTGAACAGCCCCCAACCTCAGCAACTTGGCAAGTAGGAGTGAGAAGCGAGAACTAGCACTGCCCGGGAGTCGAACTTGAAGAAATAAACACTGGGGGCGGGGACCTTTCATTGTCAAGTTTACATTCACCCCACACTACCAGGAGAGTGGGGGCTCATGAGGATGTTTAGCACCATGATAGACATAAAGAAGCCACAAGTGTCTGTGTGGGATCTGAATGCTGGGCCTGAGTTTTCAGCTGTTACATGGATCAGTGCAGTAGGATATTGTTCGTAATAAGAACACAGAGGTAGGGCACTCAGGGAGGGCAACCTGGAGGAGAGGGCATCTTGGTGACTCCTGCAGAATGCGGATAAGGGGTTGTCGGTGTGTGGGAGCACAGCAGCTGCCTCTGTGCAGGGCAGAGGGGTCCTTGCCTGCAAGCTGGCAAAACCCTGAAGCCTCAAGGGGCAAATGCCATTCCTGGAGACTCAATACATTGATTTCTTGTCAACCGTGGAATTGCCAATCACGGGCTGGGGCTCCAGCCTCTGAATGCCACAGCACCTGATGTGTGCTAGAAGAAGTTTCAGAACTTACATTCAGTGTGGCTTTATATTTGACCATCAACAAATTTTTAATCCAAAATCTTTTTGCCTATGCCCCCCGTTTGGTTCACCTCCTTAGAACAAAGAGCCCGACCATAATTACATTCAACCTCCTCCGCTCCTCTGCCCACCCCCCCACACACACCTGTAGGTTGCATTGTAGATTCTGTAGGATAAGATTTGGGGGAGAATTCAGGCCTAAAAAGGAAGGAAATGCAGACACATGCTGCTCCATAGATGACCCTTGAAACCATGCTAAGTGCAAGAAGCCAGACACAAAAGGCCACATATTGTATGGTTCTGTTTATATGAAATGTCCCCAACAGGCAAACCTGTAGAGACAGAAAGTAGATGTGTGGTTGCCTAGGGCTGGGGGGTCGGGGTGTGGTGAGTGACAGCTAATGGGTATGGGGTTTCTTTTAGGGCTGATGAAACACTAGTGCTGACTGTACAGTTTAGAAGGGCAAGTTGAATAGCATGCAGAATTTTATATTTAAAATTCAATGACCAAAAAAAAAAAAAAGATGCGGGGAGAGGAGCCGAGAGCGGCTTGATTTAAGTCCTGCCTTCTCAAGACACGGAGACTGGCCTAGTCTGTCATGCTTGAAGCACTCGAATTTCAGAGAAGGCCGAGTCCTGATGAGACCTATCAGAGCAACTGATCTGAACATTTGCAAGGGTGATCGTGTACCTAACAGAACTTGCAGGGGATTTCTACCAGCCACCTTGAATTGGCTGTTTATCGCGAGTGCCTGCAAATACCAGGCACTGCTGTGCTGGATGTGGGGGCACAGCAGTCAACGAGACAGACACAGGCCTATGTGAGAGACAGACACTTAACAAGAGGTCGCACAAATAATTAATTACTCAATTGCCATCAGGGTCACTTAGAGCTTATATAACAGATTTAAGCGTGGGAGCAGGGGGAACCTCCCTAGGGAGTTAGTATTTAAGCCAAGTCTGGACTGCTGGGGGAAAGAACCAGCAAGATGGGATAAAAGACAGAGCTGCTACAAAAGGGGACAAGGGTCAGGAAGACCCCAGGGTGGGAGAGGATGTCTCGGAGGCCAGACAGCCTGTAGGGAGAAGCAGTTGCCTCCCTATGTCACCAGCTACAGAGACCTTCCCCGAGCCCACCAAACAGGAATTCAGGCTTCTAACACCAGGGCATCTTGTTTGAGCTGGAGGTGGGTGCCTTTCAGAATGTTCAGGTCCTGAGGTTTTAAAAAGTTTGTCTAATACCGTCGTTCATTCGTTCATTCAGCAAATATTTATTGAGCATCTGCAGTGTGCCAGGCGCTGGGGATACACGAGCAACACAGCGTCCCTGCCCTTCCCGGGGCTCACATTCTAAAGGGGAAGACAGTCAACAGGTGAACAGAGAGTCAACAGGTGAACAGAAGGTAACTTCACGGGGAATGGGCCCATAAGGGATTTGGGGCTGGGTGGACTTTACACAGGACGGATGGGGAACCAGCAAGAAGGGAATCAGCTGGGGGAAGGGGGTGCAGACTGACTGGGGCAGCAGCGGGTAAGCAACGGGGAACAGAACTGGAACTGGACAGGGTACCGGCAGGTTCCCACAGCTCAGCAGGGGCCTTGCTGGCCGCGGAATGGACTTGATTTAGAATTAGATTTAGTTCTAAAGCGATGGGAAGCCTTTGGAGCAGAGAAATGACACATTTGACTTAAGCTTCAGAAAGGTAAGATTCTGCTGGGGGAGGTGGGGGGGATGGGAGCCAAGGGTGGAATGGAAGTGCCAAGGAGAAGACCAGCAGGGTACAGCAGAGCAGACACACAGAAGGGAATGGGACCCAAGGGCAGCGCGCTCCGGTCCAGGCGGAGCGGCCCGGCCGAGGCACCAAAGTTAAGAGCGCTCACTCTGGAGCCGGGCTGACCCAGGCGTCCATCTCGGCGCACCGATGGCGTGACCTTGGGCAGGTGACTTTGCCTCGGGGCGCCTCAGTCTGCTCCTCCGCGCGATGGGGTAACAACAGCGCCTCCCTAACAGGGCTGCCGCTGCCACCGCGCTCGCGGGGCCCAGCAGAGCGCGGTGGGCGCCGAGCAGCTGCGGCGACTGTGAGTAATTTGTTACTAAGAATAGTTAGCGCCCCTCTCCCCGCCGCCGCCTCCCAGCCGCCGGCGCAAAGGCGAGGCTGGACCCCCGGCCTCGGCTCGGGTCTAGATTCGGCCCCCCCCCGACCCCCTAT